ATACTTTCCATTTTACACTCTTCAAATTCAGCATTCATAAACTCTATAGATTCCTTTACTTTTGATAATTCTTCACTTACATCCTTTAGTTGCTTATTCAATGTGTCTAGTATACTTTTACTCATTTTATTGTAAAGGCTCTCCATTTCCTTCTGTATCACAGTCTGCACTATTTCTTTTACTTCCTCTGTAGTCACTGGGGTATCACTGCTTTTGCATGGGTTGTTTTTTATTTCCTCTGACAGTAATGTTCCTTACTGGCGTATTGTCATCCTTCCCCGATTTCGGAGCCTTACTTGTACATAAAGGACACTTCCAACCATATGATGACTCTGTCATGTCCATATTTTCAGGTAAGGCTAGACAAGATTTGTGATAAACTTTTTTACAATTGGTACAACGCAGGAATACATCATGAGCAGATCCTCCATCACAACAACCCCATGACAGCTTATCTCTTGAAATCGGAGTGTTCGGCATTGCGAAATATATAACTACAATATTAAAATTCAATGTAGTCAAGTATCATAAAAAAAAAGAAAGAATGAGAAATATAAAACAAAAAGAAAAAAAATCGTTGTAGGTTTGATCTTGCACTACTAAGATAATATTTTAGAGAGTTTAACCAATCTGCCACTTTGTTGCGTTGACTAAGTGTTTAATTTTACGCCTGTATATGATGTACACGATATTCATACATGAGTAGACGGGTATATGTTAGACTTGATTATTTATCAGTCACAAATACCGTCACAACACTTATTATACACACTAATTGCCACTGTATTTAGACTATATTTTACTTTGCAAATACGTCCATAATTAACAGAGAGGTTTAAAAAGCTCTTTAAACTTCGACACACAACAAAAATACACCATTAAACAGTTTTAATCAATTTTCAAAAGCTGGGAACGAAAGAGCGTGTCCACGTACGCGTTTACGACGTACCTACATAAAACACACATAAGCAACCATATCCCCATACACACACACATTTATTTTTACATTATAAATGCAGATTTATATTTACATTATAAATGCAAACATGAAACAAATAGATATTTTCGAAATCGATACATCAGCTTACAATTCGAATCTATTTAAAAATCGATCTTTTTCGGAAAGAATCGACATCCCTACTGACAATAACAATAAAAAATGGCGTCAGTTTTACGTTAGGAATTGACATAAATATTGCAAAAATAGTTTATTTTCAATTTTTTTTTTCTCAAAAAGTATGTGACCCCGAATGTTGAAACTTTGCGTGTGTGCTTATAATAATGTAACCTTTCTGTAATAAAAATATCAACCGCCAACTTGACGGACGGCAATGGTGATTGGCATAAATATTGCAAAAAAAATTGATTTGCAATATTTTTTTTTTCAAAAAGTACGCTTTTCCGCATGTTGAAACTTTGCGTGTGCTTATAATAATGTAACCTTTCTGTAAAACAAATATCAATTCCCAACTCGACGGACGTCAATGGAAAGTCTTACCTAAAGGAGACGGTCCAAAATTGTATGAAGCGTAGGCCTAGTTTTGTACTAGTATGGAAATAAATTAAAATAAAATATTAAACCACTTTTGATCATGCATATTCATGAATTTGCTTTAATTTCAGTGCAATTAATATTTTATTCTCATCAATAAATGCAACACTAATGGCGGATTGATGTCGTTTTGATTTGACGGTAGCTGTCATCTCTGAAATATACTCTCGGGTAGAATCTACTAGTTAATCTGTGATATACTCATATCACATATAGCCTATCAGGTAGATTTATTATATAAAATAGCTAAAATGTCTCGAAACTAGTAGGAAAGTAAGGCAAAATAGTTGTGTTTTTTTTATCAAAACACGAATAAAGTGTATTATAGATTGTGTGTCTTAAAACAACTAACGTTCTTGTTGATATTTGCATATCATAAATGCAGTTCAGGAGAAAACAAATGTAAAAAGTACAACCTAATTCCAGACAAAAAGATTGTTGAGATAAATCAACGGTGCCTACTCACAAAATTATTTCATTGCATTCATTAGTGTGTACTAATTCACTTCACCTCACTTCACCTCAATTTAGTGCCAGATAGCTCAAAGCCGAGATTATATGTTAATAGATGGTAACTCCGTTTCTCTACTCTAAAATATCCACCCTGAGATACTACTTTATTGCACTAATCTTATAGAATATATTTAACTTATTTTTACCTTAGAGTGACTGTTTTAAGGTGGATAAACAGAATAATCCTGAATACTAATTTCTGTTCAGGTATATGTGTCTATCTGGGCTGCTGAAGTGCTAGGGTACAATCATAGATAATATAATTTATTTGTTATAATATGGTATATTACAGTTGTTACAAAAGAATTGGCATCCTAAATATTCTGCCGTTTCCGGCGTACAAATATTTTCATATAACAGGTCCTCAGCGTGTCAGAGTATGCCTTGAGCCTTGACAGACATTTGAAGCCTGGATAATGTCATAACAAAGGTTAACAGTCTTATGAATTATAGAAAGTGAAACTTAAGGTCAATCATGTTTTGGATACTAAACATAAATAAAACAGCTTAATTTTTTATTTATTTATCCTACTTCAAAGTCCTCTCTTACTAAAATGTCATCCAGAATTGAGGCCGGTGCGGTTATAGAATTTTGATATCGAGCCCAATACAACTACCAGACAACGGTCATTATGTGGGCACAGCAACCCACTGTCTGTTGTCCAGAAGAGCAACTGCAATAATAACCTGCAATCATCTCATCCCAACTTGTCCCTTGTCTCGCCAACAGTATATAATATGTATAATAAGCTTTGCCCGAGTGATGGCGAGATGTTATACGGCCTCTTATTAAAACAGGGTCTTGTTGGGATGATATTATTTGGGTCACAACTTATCTGCTACCCAGTCTTCGTTGACACCAAACATACAATATACTGATAGTATTGGCAGTAGGACGCTGGAGCTCATTTTCAAGATTTGTGCCGACAGATAATTCTTGTAATACGTTTACAAAACATTGTGGACATGTTGGTGCATTTTCGTCCATCTAGAACAAAACAATCTTATTTTAATAAACTATCTATATTGCAGAAACGCATTTTAAACATTGCAACATGTTCTAACAGGTGAATTGAAAGATAATTACATCATATTAAGATTTTGCAGCCCTTATGAACTTATTTAGAAATTAATAATTATTAACAGACTACAGAGAGAAGCATGTCATTCAAATGCGTTTAATAGCTTAAGGAAACATCTTTCTTTAGTACATACCTGCTTACTGATTCAAAATGTGATTCTACAGAATACAAATGTCCGATATCAACGAAATCAAAATCTCACGTAAATCATTAAGTCCAAAAACAAAAGCAGAGTCAAACAAGTAGAGAGTAGAGTTCTGAACTACACAACCAAGCTCGAAATAAATAAAAATATCATTTGACAGAAATGACATTTGACAAATAACCGTGTCTTTTTTACTTTTTTATGACTGGAAGGGCACCATCTTGTAAAACCATCAGAAACTTGTTATTGCATTTTTATTTTTTGCAAGTTATTTATTTTGATTTGTTCTCTCATTTTATTTTTAACAAAATCCCTGAATTTTTCTCTTTTTTACGATATATTGTACATAGACTGGGCCAGAAATGGACCGTCTCCTTTGTACTATGTAAAGTAAAATATGTTGGATATATTGTATTTTCAAAGCACGGTCTTATTAAACCTGATTATGTTGAGGTAAAACATCTTCAGACAATTGTAGGTATAGTAACTAAGTATATATTTTGATAATTACACTCAATTGGCATTATTAAATTATGATGTTAATTAAGATGTCGTGTCCTTTGACAATAGGCCAGGGGCTTGGAATAGTTATTGCAAGATAATTTACTGACCGAGTCTCAAGTCGTGGGCACAGATCGAGAAAGAATTGTTGGCTATTGTAGGTACGTGGTTGTGAAAGGTTCCATCATCATATGTATGGTTAAAAAGTTTTAGTTGACCTGATCTCCGCCCTTTAAAAATCATTGTATGAAATGTCTTTACAGCCTTAACGTTCTGAGAAATATGATATAGAGATAAAAAACAAGCCAGGCAAATATTAACTAATAGCTAATGCCTTATCTAGATCTTATCTTAGGTATGTAAGATGATGAAAAAATAAGTTCGTGTGTGTATGATTATGGAAAATTAATATAATAATAGTTGCAGTTATTTGCAAAAAATTATTAAGAATGATTTGTTTTTGATGGTTTATTGTATAAAAACAATTCAGTAGTTGATGCTAAGAATTGTAACAATTTCTTCCCTAATGATGAGTTACAAAACCAGAATAATATAATAAATAATTGTAAGCCTTTATCACTTGAAAAAGGAGAGGTAGTATGAGTAAGAGATGCTGTACCTATATTATGTGACTCCTGTTCAAATTGGTGATGCTAATAAGTGAGTGTACTTGTATTTTGAAAAATAAAACAATATTTGATTGGCGAAACTATTTCACTTTAATGTCAAAGTAAAATTAAAGACAGTACATTTCTAAAGAATGAGTGAATACAGATTCCCGTTTCCCTAAGTTTATTCATACTATCTCAATGAAACAAATTTTGAAGATGGTACCTACTTTTAACAACAGATATTATGATGGCCGATGAACGTACATTAAACTGTATGTGTAACTATTACGAACAATTCCTCTGAATCGACTATTGCGAAAAAAATCAATTGACGATTATCAAGATTTAATGTCGCTCGAACGTACTACAAATCCCTGTATATGTTGAAGGGTTTAGCATCGCGCGTCGGAATTTAGTGCTAACGCTCCGCGGCGTAGCGACAGATGGTGCCGTTCAGTGTCCGTGAGGCGGCGGGCGTCGGCTCAGGCACGGGCTTGCGTCGGTCGAGGCTAGGCGCGCGGCGGCTCGGTCTCCCGACAGTGGCGCGTCCGCTTCCACCGCGGAGTGAGGTCTGGTGCGGTGCGCTCCCGCCGCTCTCAGTACTGGCTGCATCGCGCGCGGAACCCGCCCTGGTACGTGGAGTCTTGCGACAGCAGCCCGTCCGGCTGCGAGGGGCAGTCGGGCGCCACGGACTCCTGACTGAAGTCCGGCTGCGACGCGCCCTGCGATAACGACAGCGGCGGCTGCTGCGACAACGGCTCTTGGGAGAGACGAGGCGGCCGGCGTTTCGTACGCGGAGCGGCGCGTTGCGGGAACGCGGCGGGCGGAACGCCCGCGTGTGGCGCAATGCGAGCGCCGACGTACGCGAGCGGGTCGCGAGGTGGCCTGGCGCGGTCATAAATGGATCCAGGCACCATCGCCTCGCGTGCATCGAACATCGACGTCGACATGAAATGAGAACCGGGATTTTGGGCGTTCACCAGCTTCTTCGGCTTTGCAAACTGAATAGCCGACTCTTTAAGGTTGGATAACGGACCTTCAGTCAATACGCGACGCTCCTTATAGAACGCTAGCAGATGGTTCCATAGCGGCTGCTTACTTAACACCTTGGGGTTACCGACCACAATGAGACCGTACTTAGCGCGGGTCAATGCAACGTTCAAACGCCTCGGATCGCTCAAGAATCCAATTCCTTGATGTTCGTTCGAACGTACACATGACATTATTATTATGTCCTTCTCCCGACCTTGGAAAGCGTCGACGCTGGCCACTTCGATTTCCTGATACAGTTTAGCATGCAGGCTTCCTTGATATTGCATATGTTGAACGAGATATGATCGCTGGCCTTCATAGGGAGTAATGATACCAATTTGTTCAGGACGAACACCGGCCTTTAGAAAACGTGTCGTGAGTTTTTCGACGTTTGCGGCTTCGGTACGATTTAAGTAGGATGTTCCTGATCCAGCGATCTCTTCTTGACCTTGAGTAACATAGAAGAACATGGGTCGGTCTGGCCTTGGCCATGGGAAATCTATTTTATGTAATCTTCTATCTTCCGCGCTTACACCATTTTGGAGTGAACCTTCGTAGAAAAAGTCAGACGGGAACCGTGAAAGTTCCGGATGCATGCGATATTGGACTTCCAGACGGAAAGGACGAATACCAAGTACAACTAGACGCTCGAAAAGACTCTGACTTAGGCCAGCTTTTGCAGCCTTTTTGCACATAACAACTGGACCTAGCTGGCAGTGGTCACCGACAAGAATAAGCTGTCTAGCTCCAAGCACTACTGGAACCATACACTCTGGTTCAGTAGACTGCATTCCTTCATCAATAAGAATAGATTGAAAACGCATTCGCGCTACTCTTGGGTCCCCTGCGCCAACGCAAGTTGTGCAAACTACATCGGCTGCGTCTAGAAGACGCCTTTCGGCTGCTCGACGTAAGGCTCGGTATCTTCTTTCATCAGCTGCCGATAATTCACCAGCTTCTTCTTTCAACCTCGTTAATTTACGTAATTCGCTATCAGCAGAGCCTAAAGCACGAGCCTGCTCATGTAATGCCAAGAATGATACAGAAGATTCCATAGCTTCTCGTGACTTTGCGCATAATCTCACTACTTTAAGTCCCGTTCTATGTATTTTTTCAGTAAGTTGATCAACAGCAGTGTTGGAAGGAGCACAAACAAGGACCGGTCCACCACTTTGTCTAACAAGTTGGTATACGATTGTAGCTGATGTCACAGTCTTTCCTGTGCCAGGAGGCCCTTGAATCAATGATAGAGGGCGTTGTAGTGCGTGTTTGACAGCATATACCTACAACAAAAATAACACTGAAGTACGGTGTTATGGTAACAATGTCATATTTAAACAATATGACATTGTTTGTTAGAATACAACACCCATTTCTTTTGGTGGGTTTCATAAGACGTAAGAGGAAGCAGCATCTATGGTGATGCCTGATGCTGTTTCCCAATTCTGCTTGTTAAGAATGGCGATTTAGGTAAATCATCTTTAATAAAGTAAAAGAATGCAAGGTTATACCTGTGAGCGATTGAGATCAGGTAAGTTAGGCGCGCTAAAGTGTTTTGGTAGGTGTACACGAAACAGAACTTCTTCTACTTCATGGCCAAGGAGTCTACGATATATGTATCCAGATACTGACGAGTCATCGACGGCGAATTTTCGAAGAGCTAATTGCATTCTGAAATGTTTGTATAATTTTTTTAAACTGAATTAAAAATTATGGTTTCAATTTTGTAAATGCTGAATAACAAACCTGTCAAATGAAGTACTTTTCCAAATAAAATCAACCACAAAGTTTGAGGTACACTCAAGGGGGGCTCCTGCGCCACTCTTCAACTCAAGACCAACATCATCACCATAGTTGTCAGGCACTTTAATAACATGACCAACGCCAGACCAAGTTTTATGCAGTTCTCCAACATATCTAGAATTTTAGAAAAGATAAAAATTTTTGCAAAACTTTACAAAAAAGTTGTCTAAACAGAAAAAAGGAATTCTAAACCGGGAAGTGCTTGGATGTCTATTTTTTTAACAGCCACTTGTATTAACTGCATACACTTGATATTGACAATTGTAGTACAATTATAGTACCTCATGTCTCACACATTTGGTACTGTTTCATGACAATGATTTAGACATTTTACGTCTTGATTTGGTTATCCTGCCGTGTAGGCCATTATAATATTGCCACCAAAAGAAATGATAGATGGATAGATAAGCAGATAGTCGTTTATTTTCTTCTTATAGAGCACATATAACTATTCAAAATACAGTTAAAACAAAAACTTTAATAATTCGAAAATATGCCGGGCACAATTTGTACACAGATGTGTGTACTGCAATGGCGCAAACAGACCTTAGGTAAGTAAGTGCGCGCATTAATTAGCAGCATGCATGAATAGTAAGATTTAAATGGAGTAATTACCTCAACCTAAGTTCATCTCCATGCATAAGTTTCATATCACTGTCCGTTTTTGCAAGGGTAAAATAAGCAATAGTTTTCTTATTTAGTCCTACATCCCAACGAACTTCTATCCCTTCTTGAGTTTGGGATTCTTTGAGTCTTTTATCATAGTCAGCCTCTAATTTGACCAGTGGACCAAAGATATTCTGGTACTGGTAACCATCTTCATATCTAAAACAAAATTTTATCTTTTTATATAATAATACTAATATAAGTATTTTGCTATAAAATGGAATAAATATGTTACATGGCAACATATGCTGATTTGTTAATTTGATTAATGGAGTTTTGGCGGGAAATTGACCGGCGGCGGTTTGCTGCTCCTGTATTATTGTTTAAATAATGGTTTGAAGTGGACTTTGATATATAAAAGTGTTGCGATTTTGTGTATTAAGTGTCTACGCATGTGAACTATTAGTGGAAACAGTGAAACAAGTGCTCTAATGGTGATGGATTCTCAAGATAAGCTGTTTGTTTGCATAGGCACCTTTAGATACCATCGCCAACTATCAGCTGTCTGCTGGATCAAGTTGCCGCCAAAATCTCCCAAGAACTGCACAATGTGACGCATCAACATATTGTGAAGCAGTATACTATGAAGGAGTGGGGAAATTACAATAAACCGAATAAAAATACTTAAGACTTGGCCTAAAGGTCTAGATACCAGGCCATAAACTCCAAAAAAAAAAATTTGATTAATAATTCTAAATTTGGATATCAAATCAAAGGAATAGATACTTTTTTATTTAATATAGATTATAAGTAATATTTAATTAAAGTAATTTTTATGTTTAATTTAGCACTGTTCCAGAGAATACCTCTGTTCTGGAAAGAACCAGAAAGAAACAAGAAAGAACAGTTTACAGACATAATATATTATGTTACATAACCTACACAAAACAAATTAGAAATAGCTTGGTAGCAATCACTTCATACCCAGGGGTTATTATCATCCATAAATTCCTTAATATTATAATAATCCCATTTTTACAATAATTGCTTAATAATGTTTTGAAACTTGGAGACAAAAGACAAATTTTGTATGTTTTCTGACATTTTGTTGTAAAAGCGTATACATTTGCCCATAAATGAGTTACCGAATCTGAAGAGTCAAGTAACTGGTACTACTAGCTTGTGTCTGTTCTTAGTATTTATAGTGAATATCACTTACTTTTTTAAAACTACTTATATTTTCGTGTGTACAGTTCGTAACAGTCTCAATACAGTTACGAAAATGTAATGTATGTACACATACATTACATTTTCGTAACTGTATTGAGAGGCCGAATTTAATACATATATCAATTTCATTAATTTTTTGTCTTAGAGACTATTTAGGTTTTAAGTTATTAGTGTAATTTAGATTTAGATTTTGATCTTATGGCCCTCTTCTGCAAAACGAATATAACTTCAGTGTCAATAGTGTGTCACCATATCAAAATACTCTACGACATTATGTTATGGAAATAGGTAAAATAAAGTAGTAACGCTGGTAAGATTTCTAACCTTCTTTCAACAGAATTTGCTTGCTAATTTAGATAATATATAAGCCCATTGTAGCTTCACATCTAGTATGATTCCAAGGAAAATGGCGGTATCGATAAGACTTAACTCCTCCCCATTTCAAATTACATTAGTATTTTGATGTTTGACATTTGGAGTAATGAATTTTATACATTTAGTGTCACGTTTAAATGTCAATTACTAAAGTTAATAAATAAATAAATTATTTAGACAATGCATTATTAACTTCATATTTTATTAGTAATAGTAGTTTTAGTTTGAAAATTGATGAGACATAGAACGGGGCTGCGAATTTAAACCAGAGGCAGGCCCATTTTACTATCGACCTGGAGGAACTAATACCGTTGATAACAACTTTTCGCGTACTGTTACTTAAATATGAAATAATACATTTAAGAGCATCACTTCTTACACCAGCTTTGTAGTTTCATGTGATTAATGTCTCATGGTGAACACAATCGAAGGCTATGGGCAGGTCACAAAATATACTCAAAGAATCCTGTGAATTCTCCTATGCCATTGAAAATAGGTTTGATCAGCTCAATAGCATCAGTTGTCGAGCGACCCCTTGTGAAACCCAATAGATTTTAGACATTTGCTATAGACTGCAAGCAATCTATAGCAAATGTAGCGGTAGTATAAATGCGCTGCTGTAGGCACTGATATCACTCGAAATCGCATTCTACATCCTACTTATCCACATTAGAAGTTGCTTATTCCTTTTGCACAAATAAAGTTTTACAGTTGCTTTGTTGTGTGTTGTGGCTTGAATCGCACAATACAAATTATATCAAAAATGTTAACCTTAGAAGAACTTGATGGGGCTCTTCATCTACGCCAGGTTTCTCTAGATCTTGGAAAGTGGCGTCAACATTATCACGCCACAACTCTTCAAGGCGGCCTATTTGCTGTGGAGTAACCTACAACAAGTAAATTTATTTGAAACAGCTTATCTGAAGTTTTTATTTCATTACAAGAGTGAATTTCAGTTAGCCAAAGTAAAAATATAGGTTCATCAATTATTTTAATAAATTTATACATCATTTTATTTGTGATATTATATTTTAAATATTCCGTAGTTTTTCAAATTTCAAGCAATTTATAGTATAAATCAGTAATATAAAAATTTATCTCACATATGATAAGTTATGAATGAATCCTATTCACAGTGAAAATTAAAATGGGAACCTAATTGTAAGTCACAATTAAAATATTAGAGCAGAAACAAATATAGCACATTTTCAGTATGTTTAGATAATATGTGTTGTTTGCATAATGTTACTCCATTTTGGAAAATAAGATTTATAATCAATTTGTTTATAATAAGCCTATCAAGTCTTCCGACCTATTGTGGACTAACTTTTGTGGGATGCCAAACATCCAAAAATATTGTAAAATCATCATTCCTTATCGTTCTACAACTAGCTTATATTAAAATTAAACTTACCTGACGGGCTCTCATTTGCTCAGTTTCTGATGGAACCTTTACTAACCATGATAAGAATGCACGATCAGCTGAAAACAATATATTTGCATGTCAACAAGGATTTAACAAACTCTTTTAGTTCGCGAAAAGAAAATAGTGAGTCATCATTGTCCAATGGCTTAGCTGCGCCCTTAATCAGGTCGCAAAAAATTAAAAAGTCAAGTTCACTGTGAGCAGTGATCAAAATCAATTTTACTGAATGCAGACGTTTCTACAAAACTATATATTTTAGAGAGATTTTTAAGTGGTAGAGCCATGCTACAGCTATATTATGGTAGTAGCACAAATGGAGAAGGACCACAATCTCACAGAATACCAGCGTAAAATAGCAGCTTAATGCTACTTTATTTTGTATGGTGAATGTAGAGAACAGGAGACCCTTTTTACTGAATACGAGGCATTACACTGTAATCCTGAGGGGTGATAACGCATCTGCATTTGATTCTTACTTGAAGATAGATGTAGATGTTTAGGGGCCACAGCATCAATTTACCATCAGGTGGGCTGGGTGCTTGATTGTCACCCTTATTTCATTAAAAAAAAGTTGATTTTTATCCATAAAACTTAATCCTTTCAAATATAAATTGTTTGAATTATTACTTAAAGTGACCATACATCCCGTCTTGAATGGGACTGTCCCTTTTCGAAGTCACCTGTCCTATTGTCCCCAAACAAAGCTCCGGGACGCAAAATAGTCCCGTTTTCCGAAACCAAATAATATTGCTGAAGTTTGTGAAAAGTACAGCTATAGAATTATATAAAATAAACTGTGAATATCTGGAAGAGTGGACTTGCTTTCTTAATAAAGAAATGGATATTAGGCAGATAGAGAATTTGGCAGATTTACAAAAACTACCTGCATGGGAAGATATTCAAAATGCACTGGCATTGATTGAGAAGGGATATATTGACTGCAATAAAGATACGGAAGAATTTGACGAATTTACGTTAATTTCAATTTTTTTTGCATTTCAATCAAATATACCTGGAACAAAAGCTACAGTAGAAAGAGTATTTTCTATAATGAATAAGTTGTGGACGTCTGAAAAAATCACTTACAGGTACCAGTTTTAAAGGCGATGTTAATAACAAAGGCTAAAAAAAGCCCAGAATTTTATTCTTATTTAAAATCATCATCAACTTTATTAAAGAAAATTTGTTGCATTTAAAAATTACTCTCTGAAGAACTTTGCTTTAATGAAGCTGGTAAACTGGTGATTGATTTTAATTTTACACAATTTGCTATAATTACTGTGAATATAATTATATAATATTCTATAAAGTTACAGTTTTTCTAAGTAAATAACATTAAAATGTTATATTTATTTTTATTGTTATCCTGTTAACTGGCGTGTGTAAATAAACCTATGTTCCATTTTGAGTTAATAAATAAATGGTCAGTTTATTTATACTACACTGTGAATGCACCTTTACAGTTGCACTGATGACTCACTAATTTCTTAATTTGAATGGACCATAGTATTAACAAAAACACTTACAAATTAAAGGTTTCCATTGTTCCTGATCCCAATTCATATCTTTCAAAGAACTTTGTGCTGCACATGGTTGCCTAAAAAAATAAAAATATAGAATAAAATAATAAAAGAAAACTATACAATAAATATAACGTAATAACTACTCAACTGTCCACAGTAACTACAGTCCCCAATAAAATTATTGCCTCACCTGTCCATGGTGACTATAGTCACCAAACAACATATTTCACTTTAAATGTGTACAGCACAAAAGAAAATTATAGATGGTGCTATATGAAATTTGACATCTGTGTTAGTTCAAAGTTAAAATTAAATTTCGCCATTTTTGTTTGTGGAATGTTAAAGTGTGCGAAATTCGATCAAAAATGTAATAACTTTTCTGTTTTTATATGTTATTTCTAATGCTATTGTATATTAAACTAATTGTGAAGATATTTTCTTTCGTAAATATGTATCATTACAACGATACCAAAACGTTTACATATAATAATTTAGCTCGAAATTTTAATCACTATATGTGATCATCGTTTATTGATTATATGTTGTTTAAAATGTATTCTAATCAGTTTTTTGTGTTAAATTAATGCTAAATATAAAATAATGATTCACTATTGACATGTTGATAGTCAAATAAACAAAATATCTGTTGAGATGTGTCTAGAAATGATTAAAACTTATTTTTATTTATTTATTAAAATTTATATTGGGTAAACATTTTATACTTATGTATATTGAGTATATAAGATATTATTGATTTTGGTGTCATTTTAAAGGGATTATCAACTATTATAATATAAATTAATTGTCTCCAGAAAGTATTATATTTTTCTTATAAAACTCAAAATAAAAAATAAATACAATTTTTTATATTCCCATTTTAAAGCTTTATTTTCTGCCTTTATTTTTAATTTGACTAATTTTCTTTTAACAAAATTAAATGTTGAATTCTTTGAGTCTTTTGAGAATATCTTTTATTTAAATGTAGCTATGGTAGTTTTTCAGTAGTAATAGTTTGTTTAGACAGTCTCGTGCAGTCGTAAAAAAATAGTGACATTTAATGCGCAGACAGATGAGGCGAGAATCACTCGCACGGGGTGGACGGTTAAGTGGATAAATATATATAATCATTATAGTAAAATACACTCCTGAACATGTAATATTTAGAGGAATGCAAAACGATTTATTAGAAAAAAGCAACAAATTAAAGATTAAGAAAAATTATTGTTATAAATTATCATAGTAAATAACATTTAATATTTTTCTTTAGGTATGTTACCTCCTCTTGCTGTCAAAACTGCCTGCATCCATCTTGGCAGATAAATGAGGATCATGAAAATCCAGTGTCCACCAATACACTTTTGAGATCTCATAACTTACTGGTTATTGATTTCTTTGTTACTCAAATATAATTACAACACTATCTATTTCTTGGAACTTACAAGGTTTACACTGTCAAAAATAACTTTAATTTGAAAACAAAAGATAATTATCCTTACTACTACTACTGAAGTCAAAATTGCTGCCTTATTTAAAAAAAAAAATTAAAAGGTGTGAAAAAATGTCTTCTAAAGTGAGACACAACTTAAAAGCAAAGTACTAAAGTAAAAATCTTAAAAATTACTTATAACTGTTACACACAGAAATTACAGCCATTATTTTGCATTCTGCTAAATATGTTCATGAGTATAAAATATGTATAAAGGGAAATTTGTCAACTTACCGACAAAGTAATACCACAACAGAGTCAGCTTTGGCTGGAATGAAGCCAAGAACAAAGACATTCCTAGCTCCACAAGAGTAGCATTCTAACAAAGTTTCTCCCAGTGGTCCATCTCTATGTAATGCCGCTTCCTTATGCTTAGCTCTTACCAAGTGATTAATTATATGTGACCCTGATGTATTGCCACGTCCATTGCAGAACCTACAATTTTTAAATAACCTATATTAGTTGGATGATTTTAGAAATAACCTATATTAATGGGTTGAAGTCTTTTTTGTTTAAAGTTGACTGTACGAAAAATCACTAATAAAGTAAATAATAATTACTACTAATATTTAAAAAAACCCTTGACAAACTTTTGAAAGTTGATGAATCTTTATTAAGAAAGTTGTGAAAGCAGTTTTTATCTTTTTGAAAGATATTTTAAAAACATAGAGCAACACAGGTCCCTGATAGACCAGAGGGGAGTATGCATAAGACCATTTGGACTTTGACAGAGGGGAACACCTGCATATGGCTACTGACCTCCCCACCACCGATGGCCCATGTTGCTCTATGTTTTCAAATATTAATTAATTACAATAACATTTCAAATAAACAATTGCCAGTTTTAGCCAAGTTTGTGACTTTTGTTGTCTAATGACAGAAATAGACATGCCATCAAATAAGAAAAACATTTGTAAATATAATTTTATGCAATTTGCATAGTTGCATGCCAGTAACTTGTAAGATGGTATACACATGCCTATACCACACTTATTGTATGCTAGTGATTGCTTGTACAGCACATTTTTAAAGTTATTACAATGGGAGAGTCATACCATATCAAAACCAATAAACTTTACAGTTTTCTGATTCCCACATCAAGACATGACTACCTTCAAATAATTAAACGAAATAAGCAAACCATAATATGTACATTGGGCGGCAGCTTGCCCCAGTTACTGGCATATCCATAGCCATTTAATGCATTAACATAAGCCTTTAGGTATGCGACTTGCAAGATATCCTCTCCCGCCAACTCAACCAACTCATGCTGACCAATACATGCCAAAAAATTAAATATTATAGTAATGTTGTTGACAGGCATTCCATTTGACTTACTATCGTGTGCAAGGAGCTGGTATGCCATTGTGCTTCATGCATGTGTATTCCTGCCTTAATATATAATATAAGAATAAAAGAAGTACAGGTATTATTTGATAATAGTTTAAGCTTACCATTTATTGCATATATTACACATAACAACAGTAGCAGGGTCATGAATACCGCAATATTTGCATGCGTGTTCAGGTAGCTCCTTACTCCCATATAATGCCTCATCTTCTTCTTCAAATTGTAATTCCGCAATAGCGTTAGCAACATTTGAAACCTTCGAATTAAGATCGAGGCGCCCTAATCCATTTACCTGTATTATAATGAGTCACAGCGAAATTAGAATATTTTAATGACATTTACAAAGGTTATGAAAATTGTAAGAGCACTGACAATTTACCTGATTGGATGTATTCAGTCCGTGATCGTGTTGTGAAGCCTGAGTTTGACTTTGAGAAGGCAATGTAAAATCTGTAAATTCAAACTCAGAGCCCTGGGTATCAGCACCGATAAGATCTGCTTCTTCGGTATCCAAAAACGTTAACGTTTGAGAACTAGGTCCATATGCGTCGACACTCATTTTTACAAGGGTGATTAAAATAATGAAATTTATAAAAACGTCTCAAAAAGAAATGTTGCACGTTCAGACGAACATCCCATAACAACTACGTAATAGTTAAACGTGTTGCAAAAGATGATGTTGATGATTAAGAACAAGAAAGTTCGCCATGTTAGCAATAACTTAGATCTTAACACATGGTTTGTTTCCGTTTCTAAAACCTCATTACTCATTGGCTATCTGAAATACTAAGGTCGCAAATCGCCAATAGAAATCATATTTTATTTTATTCCACCAATAAAAACTAAGCATAGAACTGATTGACAAGCAATCTCATAATCATAGACATTGTTGTTGTTTTTCTATTTAATTAAAAGCAAAAGTATCTATGCCCGTACAGCCTAATGTGCCCGTACGTAATGTGCGTGTTAAATGTCTGCGCATGTGAACTAGTGGAAATGATGTAACCAAATGTTGTATGTGCACTGGGTTAAGCTATCGTCTCTTATATTTTAATCTGTGTAAAACTTTTTTTATCGAATAAGGGTGACAAATGAGCACACAGTCCACCTGATGGTAAGTGGATGCTGTGACCCATAGACATCTACATCTATCCTCGATTAAGGATTAAAATGCAGATGCGTTGTCACCCCTAAGTATAAAAAGGAATGCGTCGTTTCCAGTAAAATGTATTTCCGGCTCTCTACACTCATAATATTCAACACGGGAGCATTTAGCTGCTATTTCACGCTGGTATTCTGTGAGAACGTGGTGCTTTCCCAGTTGTGCCGACCCCTACCTGCTACAGTCATTCATTATATAGTAACATGGCTTTGCCACGTAAAAAAAAACAGTTATCATTTTAATTAAAACCATGTTCCTCTTCTTCTTTTAAATTATGGCTTAAAACCATGCTCCTCAGTCTCATTTTTAATGTGTGTTACCTCAGAACTTTTTTCCAGGTGAACCGATTTTGATGTTTCTTTTTTATTTGAAAACTGGTGCTTCTCATGTGGTCCTATATAAATTTAATCAAGATCCGACAGTAGTTTTTGAGTTATCTTTAATAATGCGTATTTAATTGACTTCGACTACATTGATGATGTTTGTACAGTCTTTACAAACTGCACATTTCTGCACATCAGCATTTTTACGTTATTGTATCATTTTTCATTCTCATCAATTCACTACATGATGTTTGTACGGTCTTTACAAACCGCACATTTCTGCACATCAGCATTTTTACCTTACTGTATCATTTTTCATTCTGATCAATTCAGTACGCAATCATTCGGCTTCGTGCGTTGTACTCACTATCAATAATATCAGAATCAATTACATAATCAGTTCAAGCCTTTATCATTTTTATCAACTACTATAACTGTACAGAACAGCAGCTCGTACATCTTAATGGTCCTTCGAGCATTGATCTAGTGCCGGTAAGATCAAAGCGGGACCATGCGGTTCGACAACGTGACTTCGTTTCGTTATTTTATTTTTCATTCGTTTAATGCTGCCCGTGCGTTACCGCAAAAATTTAGCAAAAACTCTACAAGTGAGTTTTTGAAGCAATTACGCTGTGAAGAAGTCCCTGCTACAACATAAATCATCACCAATAGCAGTGATTGGTAATCATCACTCCATCAATCACGAAAAACATTTTGTGTTTGTGTGTACTGACGTGCAATAGCAAATCAGTCGAGTCGGTCTCCCACAAGCGGGTCTCACCGACGAGATTGAAAAGGCGCCCATTGTTACGTAAGTTATAAGGTGTTACAATAAAGAATAAATAAATAAATAAATATTACAATACAGTAAACGCTGTTAATGACAGGCTCGTGGAGACAAGCGGTTAGAGCTAAGTTCTGCAAAACCCGTCGCAGAAGAACTCAAAAACTATCCGATCAAACTCTTAATCCCATTACTCTTAGACGAGAAACGATGCTGTAGTCTTCATCAGATGAGACAGCATACAGGCAATTCAACGGACAGATCTTCAAATGCATACGCCGAGACTTACGCGACTTCAATTCAACTCTTATTGAAAAAGCAATTGAGCGGAATCAAGGTTTCAAAGTCTTAGAGATCAGTCTGCCGGAAAAGAACCAATAGTCGAATTTGAAGACCGACTGTGATAGCATCGCTTATGGGAGACCTGAGAATTAGAGCAAGATTAAGAGGTTCTACAGACCGTTGTACCTACACATCATCGTTAGATGAATTGTTGCCTCACGAAAGTGTAATTAACGATCCAAGAGCAAGTCTCATCCGACACGATTCTCAAAGTCAGTCTGAGCGATATTAGAATGACTTTCCAGCACCTTTTAAACGACAAGGTCTCAGGCGAAGATGGAACTACAGTGGAGTCTTTGAAAGCTTGTGGAAAACCAAAACTTAAAGTCCTTCAGAAACTTTTTAATTCCGTCCTCTACTCCTTCTACTCCACGCCTTCGGTGTGGCGCATTAGCCCCACTCCGGAGACGTGGAGTAGAAGTGCGGTGGTTTTGTTCTTCAAGAAAGGTAACAACGCTCTATTGAAAGATCCACGGCTGCAACCATGTGTGCGGGTTGCTCTACAACTTGTGAAATCGCTACCCAAGCAATAGCAATTTCATTCGTTGAGGAGATACAGTCATACTTTGCAGTCTTTCGAGTTTGACGTCATAAAATAGTTTTGAGCGCATGATGTGCCAAAGTCGGTCTAGGTCTAGCTAGGCTTACTCGGTGATGGCAATAAATTAGTCTAGCTCAGCGAAAAAGTCTGTAACCTGTAAACTGAAACTGTAAAATAAAAAGGCCCCGTACCTCCACCTTCTTCTTCTTTCGTCCTAAAATACGCCCGCAGTGCGTTCCTAATTCTATCTATTGTCTACTTTATGCGGTATATTCCACCAGTGGCAGATGTTAATTGCTGAGTCCGAGAGAGAACTGGTTCTTTAGAAAATAAGCTAGTTGGCGGGGATGATGGATGCGAGGCATGGCTGGGTTGTCATACGGCACCTCGCACTGAGCTGGTAGTCCATAGGCTGTCACGTGCAGTGCCAGTTTCAAACGCACCCTGGTGATCTCCAGTTATTGGCGGGCGGCACGTTCCTCTGTTAACCATTATCCACTTTGTGGGCCTCAATTAAAACTGGTGCGGCCATATACTCAAATGGGTCGTTGGCTCTCCTTAATTTTGTTGAGGCACGGCGCTCACTCTTCTTGGCAATGCGCTGACTGACTGCGCTTACGTAGCAGTTTTGTCACCTAACGGTTACGTCAGTAGGTGACGGGGTCGCCACTTCACTGCACATTTATTTGTCGAAGGGCCTTCCTTGGCAAGAGCTAAGGGAGGCCCCTACAGTCTTGTATATAAATAAGGAGAATCCTATGTTACCTAATTACGGAAGAACGATTTTCTTTATTGACAATAATTGCCTTTAATATTATAAAAGGCGTATCTAGGAACGAAATTACATCGTCAATAATTTTATATTGCTGTTGGGACCTTTATCCTTCAACGTTGTTAACGAGTATGTATATCTGATACAAAATGTCGAATTAAACTTCCACCAAGAGGTTCGGAAAACTGTGACGAATCTTCTTGTTTGATATTCCTCAGAACCTAAAGACGAAAGTGTAAAAAACGGTGCGTGTTGCCAGTGATGTCTTAAGGAACCAAAACGTGGTCTTTCACTGCTGGCACATAAACATTTCCGCAGTTTATTTTCTGGAGAGGTTTAGCTTTTGCAATCATTAGTAGATTTTGACATTTACAGGAAATTAATAAAATAACATTCCGACGCCACGCGGCTTTGCACTTGGTCCGAGAGCTCATGACGCATTTTTCATGAAGTGTTTGATGCATCATGAAACTTTGTTTAAAGGTATCAGTCGACTCAATAAGCAGGTATATGACTGTCTGCCTGGCCTACCTGGGTACACCTGGTACTGCGCATACAGTTAAGTCGAAAAAAAATTTGCCCAAAAAAAAGTGTTTGATTCAAATAATAATAATGACTATCCGTTAGCTAAGTTTATAAACAATTAAGAAAAAAAATGGCAGACACTTCTGAAGGGGTTTACATAGGGGCAGACGACCACAAAGTTGTATTTTCAAAAATTCCAAAAAAAGTGTTTGATTCAGTCTGCCATTTTTACAGCGTGTTTATTATGTATAATAAAATATTCTCACAAAAAGGCAGACAGTTTCTCCGGGGGTTACTAATTTAAAAATCTATACAAATAAATAATCACTTTTTAAATGGTCCATATTTCCTATCATAATAATTAATACATCTGTATCACATGATTTGATAAGTACATTGACAGCAGAATCCGATTCCAATTGACAAACATGAAAATAATTATACTTTTTTAAGATTATTTAAATAGCTGCTGATAAAATAAAAAGCTGTTCCCCGCGACTTCGCCCGCATGTAATTTAGGGTTTTATTTTTTTTGCGCGGTACCCTAATAATTTTTTTTTAATTTAAAAGCAGCCTAAAATACTCGTTATAACATCAATTATCTGCCAGTGAAAGTCCCGTCAAAATCGGTCCAGCCATTTCGGAGATTAGTCGGCTCGGAACAAACAGACAGACAAAAATTTTAAAAATTGTGTTTTTGTTATAAATATCGTATATAATGTCTTATGCGTTTAGTAAAAAATTGTTATTTTGAAATTAAAAACAGACATTTAAATTTTATTTATTTGTATAGATTTTTAAATTAGTAACCCCCGGAGAAACTGTCTGCCTTTTTGTGAGAATATTTTATTATACATAATAAACACGCTGTAAAAATGGCAGACTGAATCAAACACTTTTTTTGGAATTTTTGAAAATACAACTTTGTGGTCGTCTGCCCCTATGTAAACCCCTTCAGAAGTGTCTGCCATTTTTTTTCTTAATTGTTTATAAACTTAGCTAACGGATAGTCATTATTATTATTTGAATCAAACACTTTTTTTTGGGCAAATTTTTTTTCGACTTAACTGTATGCGCAGTACCAGGTGTACCCAGGTAGGCCAGGCAGAC